AAAAAATTAAATTGTTAAATAAATAAATAAAAGTTAAAAAATAAAATAAATAATCAAATTAATTAAAAAAAATAAAAAAACAATCAAATGGGTCAGGTTCAAAGGACTTTAAGTGGGTTGAGGCACGAATCCTTTTTTTCGCTAGGGAAAAATGAGGTTGTTACCTCTAGGTATTTAAGTCAAAATTTCAAGCTTCTCTCAATTTGCTCTTCCCTACTTTCTCTAAACCCAATTCTCTCTTCCCCACTTTCTCTAAACCCAATTCTCTCTTCCTTATCTTTAGATTCCTTTGAATGCTAGCCATAAAATCGACTCTAAAAATTTTAATATTCCATTGGGAAATTCACCCAAAACATCAATCTTTATAAAAAAAATCAACCTGATCCCTTGAAATTTTGAAAATACTTAGAACATTCCCTAAATTTCTTTTGAAACTTTGAAATCTCCATAATTCTCCTAACAAACCAATTTCTTTCAAAATCAAACCAAAAACAAAAAAAAATCTAACTTAATCCTCAAATTCAACATTGGCAGACCAAGATTGTGTTAAAAGGATTATGCATAAAAAAGCTATAAGATATAACTTGTAGATACTTGATTGACTTGGGAACTTCTTGTGGCTTTCTTATGAAGTTAGAGTTATGCAATGATAGACTTTCAATCACGAATGAAATGGCTTCAAGATGTCCTATAAATGCTACTTTCCTTAAGGATTATTTCAGCTTAACTAGTTATAGTGTGCAAAAGGGTGAACTGAAACTCCTCTTAGATACAATGCAGCCTTATTTGTTTATACTTTGTACTAGTATAACAAACCGTTAAACACAATTTAGTAGAAACTAAAATACCTTGTTTTTGCAAGGTTTTCTATAGCAATCAATGCTAAAGCAACTTGCCTTTAATTGAGAAAGTAATAGGAGAAAAAAGAGAGTGATTTAGAAACGATTTGGACATTAAAGTGAACTTATATCAATCTCTATTTATAGAATGGATCTTATGGTTGTGACTTTTTGATTGTATTATTTGAAACAATCATTACATCTTTTGGTTAAAAACACACATTTTAGAATAATTACAAATGTAATTATTCATCTTTCATAAGTGAAAGATCACTTCTTAAATATTTCAAATTATTCAAAGAGAAACCATTTTCCACATTTTAGAAAATTGTAACAGTTGAACAAGGGCTATCGACTATGATAATCGGGCATCTAACTACCTTAGTGTATTTTTGTTACAGAACATGTTTGACAAGCAAGGCAATCGACTGCCCTTTGATGAGCATCCAATTGCCCATTTTCATTTCTAAGATAGAATGCTTTCCCGACTAAGCATCTTAAAGCCTTCTGCTGGGCATGTTATAGCCTAAGAGTAATTTTATAACACAAGCTATTTCTTGTTTCTTGGAAGTTTTATAAGTCAGATACCTTTATTATATTATTTGACTAACCCTAACCATAGCCTAATTCACACTTTGTTTTACTTGGTTTCTCATTATTTTAAAAATCATTTTTAACATTCCCCTATAATTTTCAAAATCGGGTAAAATTTTAGCACTTCTAGAAATCTTATACATAAATAAAGATATCATAGAGCATGATTTTAAAATCTTTACTTTAGTGATAAAGTGTTATTGAGTTAACAAATTGAATGGTAGATCTTAGATCTTTGAACCAACCAATCTAAATGACTAGTCATGCATTAATACCATACATAAAATTTTGAATCCTAGCAAAGCATCATTTAGCCTTGCTTTAATACTATCACAATGGTAGTGTGTCATGTACATTCATGAGTGCTTTCAAAGTCAAGCCCATGTTCATAGAAGTAGTACCACTTCTACTCATATAGGTGAACTCCATCAAGAATACAACCATATAAGCATTCCAATATTAAATTGCTATTTTATGGATTCATTAAACCTTTTCACATATGGTTTAAGTACTTATCTACCTTAAGATAGTTTATAATTTAAAGTACTTGCTACCATATACAAATAATGTGCTTTACTCAATAAACTCAATATTCATGTGCAATTAAGCATGGAGTTGAAGTTTCATCATTTGTAAATTTATGGACTTAAGTCTCATTTTTATGGAAGTTTTAGATACCATACCTCTTGTGAGAACTTTTGTCAATGCATTAGCCAAATTTCCACTTGACTTAACAAAATCATTAGTGATCACCCATCTTTTATGAGTTGTCTAACATAGCTATATCTTAGACCTATGTGTCTTGACTCCTATTATACACTTGAATATATGCTTTTGCAAGTGTAGCTTGATTATAACAATGGATAGAAATTAGTAACATTGGTTTTAGCTATAAAGGAATTTTTAATAGTAAATTCTTTAGCCATTCTCCTTCTTTATAAGAACTTGGACAATTTCGAGTTTTTCAAGTCTAAGGGTAAGGGAAAAAGTAAGGGAGATAAGGATCGATAGTTCCAAGGTGGTTATGGGAAGCCACTTATTGGGAAGTAGAAGTCCATATGATAGTGGGACAAAAAAAAAAAAACTAAGAATTATAAGTTTTCGCAATGTAATAGACTACCACAAGCAAACTAAGATATTTTCCATAACCAAGGATGCTGATGACGAACCGGAATGAGAGACCTTAAAGCTTGGCTTTATCATGCTTAATTTAGTTAAGTTCAAGAAGTGCTGGAAGAAAAAAAGGTTGATATTACAATCTCGGGTGGATGGATAATGTCCTTGTAGATACGAGAGCATTTGACCTATCTATATTTAGAGATGTAGCTAAGAAACTCGCCTTGAAGGTGGAAAAAACGGCCAGGTGGATCATGATAGTAAACTCCATAGCAATCCTATCTATGGGTACAGAATGAGGAGTAGAATAGCAACTTGGAGATTGGAAAGGCAAGGAATCAATTGAGGTGATCCCTTTTGATGACTATGAGTGTGATTGGTTTAGAATTCCTTGATAAAAAAAATGCTTTCCTTTTACTGTTTGCTAATTATGTTTGCATTTTGAATCCTCTATGGCAAATATTGTACTGGTGAAATAAAAGTTAAGGTTAAGGGCTAAGGTATTGTCTACCATATAGCAAAACAAAGGGGTACGTATGGATAAAAACACCTTTCTAATAGCCCTAAAGTTGATTAAGTCTTTAGAACCTATGAATGACACCCTTTTGATGGTGTTAAAAGTGCTAAAGTCCCTTAAGGATGTAATGCTTGTGGAACTTCCACCCAAAAGAGAGGTAGACCATAAGACTAAACTAGTGCCCAATGCCCAACCACTAACCAAGGCCTCTTGCCAAATGTGCTTTCTTTGTTAAGAAATAACAATCTCTTTTGAAATGTTCTTACTTTCCACAATGGAAACATGCACCCTTTTTGTTTTGAAATTTCTAACCATTGGTAAAAAGTTTATTCTTCTTTGTAGATTTGTTTGGCTTAATATCCTTTACCATATGGACTTTGGAGACATGAGTCTTGTTTTCTTTCTCATTTTTCTTGTAGTATTGCTCTTCAATATGAAGATGACTTATGAGTTCTTTAAGAGAGATATCTTTCCTTTTATGTTTCGAGGTTCTCTTAAGGTCTTTCCATTTTAATGGGAGTTTGTCAATAATAGATGATATAATGAAAAACTCATTCATTTTCATCTTATATTGCTTGAATTTGTTAAAGATGATTTCAACTTTAGCAAATTATTCCATGATAGTTTTGGTATTATTCATTTTATATATATTTTCAACCTTGTCAGTAGAAACTTTTTGCTAGTTGCATCTTTTTTCTTGTATGTTGCATCCAGTTTGTCTTATAGCTCTTTTGCTATAGTAATTGATCTATATAGTATCAAAGAGAGAATGTGACATAGCATTCAAGATGCATCCTCTAAAAGTATAATTATCATTCTCCCTTTGTTCGTTTGACAAATATCATCACTTGTTTCTTCCTTCTTCTCTTGTGGTTTTGAGTTGTAAGGACTAGGCAATATGCAAAGTGGTGAGGAAAATATGCTTATTTTGCTGCCAATTTATGAAGTTTCCTCCATAAAGCATTCTAATTTGTGGAAATTTGTACCAATGTCTCGATGAGTTATAGTTCTCCATTTCTTGTAGTAAAACCGAAAGAAAAAGTAAGCTTACAGACTGTTGGATGAATCACCAGCAATGGATTTGATTGGTTGCTTGAGTTTTTTTTTTTTCATTTTTTTTTATTTTTGTGGTTTCAAGACAAAGAATCTAGTGTAGAAGGAAACAGCTTCAAAGCGTGTTGCAAATGCCACTTTTCTTTAGGTTTTTTACCCCTAAAAGGCATGGTATGTAATAAGAACTGAATCGAATAGCTATAAAATACAATAAAGGCTTGTTTGATAACATCTTGCACTTATGAAATCAAACTACTAAACACCTTCAATGAGGGATCAAAATTATCTCTTTTAGTCACGATTTTCTACAACAAACAATGTCTAAGAGACTTCTTGATTGAGAATGAAAAAGGAATGACTAATTTCTGTTCTTTATTTGGAATATTTCCATCGTCTTTATTTATAAAGATTTTAGTCTGGAGTTATGACTCTTTAATTGTGTTGATTCAATCATCCAATTTATCATTTCAGTAAGTTCATATCTTTTGGAACTCAACAGGTGCCATTGGGAACCATGTACAAGTGAAAGACAACTTTTTGAAAAGGTTTGAACTCAAATGAAGTGAAACTAACCGTTTCAGTAAAAAGTCAAGATTTTAGAAAAGGACAGTCGAATGCTCGTGGCATTCGACTTCCCTTTTGTAATTTTGTTCCAGAACACCCCTTTAGATTTGGGCAATCGACTACCCTGTGAAAAGCATTTGACTGTCTTGGTCTAATTTTCAAACATGTTTTCCTAATCATGGCATTCAACTTCCCTGTCTATGTCATTAGACTTCCTTGCCTAAGGCATTCGATTGCCTCAGTGATAATTGAAAATATAATGAAATCCCAATCTTGACAGTTGACTTCTGTGATTGGTCATTTGACTGTCAAAACTTTTCAAAACATGGTAGTAGAGTGCCATTGGCAACAAAATCAACTGCCATAGACTAAATTTGAAACATAAGCAAATTAATCATATGACATTCGAATCTAATGTATGGTGATGAAATTCAACATCGAACATTAATCTAAAAAAAAAGCTAACAACCATAAATTTTACCACCTTTCCCTAAAAGATAAATGAAGAAAACAATAAAGTATGTGAGGTTACACACTCAACTCTAATACGGTTATAATTTTTTTACATCTTGCATTTGCTACCCATTTGGGCAAGGATTAAAGATTTGCATATGCAACCCATCAGGAATTGAATTGGTTATATCAATATATATTATACACACTTTTGCTATGTTCTTGTACGTGTCCTTCTTATTATCCGGTGAATATAAGCTTAATTTTGCTCATAGTTTTTCAGTTGGATATGATTCTTGAATAGACGAAGCAGCTAGCTATTGTGTTGATGCAACTGCAGTTGCTGCTAAGATGGCGGCGGTGGCTCGCTGAGGATCGCTGGGAATGGACTAACACAACATCTACAAAGTGGACAAGTTGAGTTTGAGTGTAGCCAACGATGCATGCATTCAACATGAAACACGTGTTTGCAAGATGGAACTTGTAGCAGCTCCTCTTTCATCTCAAATTCACCCAAGCAAACGCTACATCTGTAATTATTTTCCAAAAGTCAATACATAAATTAAAGTAGAAAAACATAACAAAATATACTAACAGGATTGGATATAATCCATCATAATGGAGTCTATCAAATGAGAAATGCTCACCACTTTTACATATGGTAATTTAAATTCCAATCTGATAAGTTGATGATTGGAATAGGATTGCTTCTTCAACTAATTAGAAAGGATTCTATGAGAAATTGTTGCATCACATCAGTTTATATCCCATTTCATTCATTTAATGCCACAATTATATATTTTTTCCAGGTCATTCTACATTGCCCAAGAATTTTTCTTCCCATAGACCACCGTTCCTCAGTCCAATCTGAAACTCTTTTATTTTGTTTTTCTCGAAACAAACACACCACAAACTAATCTCATCTCAATTAAAATTTCAAGTTTGTTTTTATTTTACTCTTTTAGAATATCAAAATATAATGTATTTGGATGTTTGGGATTAAATTTTCTGAAATTTGGGCATGGTTTACTTACCCAAATCAAAGTCAGCTGTAGTATCACAAATAAATTTGATTCTTTCTATAGAGTTCTGTAATTGGTACAGAATTTTAACTTGTAATGTACACTATATGAGGATCATTGGAATAAAATTTGAGATTTTTATTTTAAACAAAATAAAGGCATGGCATGACCCTGTCTTAGATATTAAATTTTCAAGTTTTAGTTGCCTATTGCTCTTGAACGCATGCTTATTCCCAACAGATCTACCAATTTTGTGTTGTAACTTTGGATGGTTTTCATGTGATAGAATTAAAAATAAAAAAAAATTTAAACCCAAAAATATAACTGAAGGATACTTAAACCTTGTTTCAAAATGCATTGTTGAGTCTATTGACCATCATATTTAGTTAGCTAATATTTACATATAAGTGTTAAAAGTCACAATTACGTTCTTAAAAATTGAAAACCAATACAAATTAAGAAAAATTCAAAGATATCATGTTACAGATTAAGTGGGTGTTGAACATGATGAATAATAATAAAAACTGAGTTTCGAAAAAAGAAATAAAAAAAGGGAAGTTACTTATTGGTTGATAGTATTTTTTTTAATGCTTGTAATTTTTTATTTTAAAAAATACCATTAACTTCATTTTACTGTTGTAATTTTGATATGATTTTTAAGTAATTTTTTCAAATGAGTTTGTGTCATTGGACCTATGACACCAAATTTAAAGAAAAATTTATACAAGTACAAATAATAATATTTTAAAGTTTTATTAACTTTATAAATAAATAAATAATCCATTATCATGTTAAAAAGAATAAAAATAATAAAGAGAATTCAACAAGTTACAATTTTCTCTATTGCAAATCGAAAAAGACCTAAAAAATTCTAAAGTAATTATACAAATTAAGATTTTATTTTATTTTTTTTGTATTTTTCTTTAATTCCCTTTCTTCTGTTTTAGTATATTTATTATTCTATTTATTCCAGAAAGGAATGGAGAGAGTAAGAAATGGAGATAGCGAATGTGATGGTGAGAAGAATCAAAGAGAGAAAAAGCATAAAAAGAAGAATTGTGATCTTTTAAGAAAAAAATGAGCTTAAAGGTTCTTTTTTTTTTTTAAAGTTAAAAGTATAGAAAAGCTATAATTATAATAAAATATTGCATTTATATAGTAAATCATTTAACTAAAACAAATAAATCAATCAATTAACAAACCAACATATAACTAAATGAATCCAACATTTAAATGATGTTGAAACTTCTTTTTGAAAGGAAAGAAATATTATTCACATAACAGTGCCCATTTCATAGAGGTAAGAAACATTTTTCAATTATTTATGAATGCTAATTAGTTTCTTACATGTCTATCTTAATTAGTTTTTCCAAAAGCATCAATATATGTTCTTAAAACATGAATCTATGAATTTGGTTGCAATTTTTTCTATTTGTTTTTATTTTTAAAAACTTGTTAAAAGACGAAAGCAAATTTATAGTTGAGTTAGTTATACATATGGTACTCCAACAATTGTAAAATATATAAATTGATAACCGGACAAAAACAATTTATACAATTTACAGTATAAGGGAAATCAACAACTAGGTGAGAATTTGATACCCTTACTGAGCAACAATGATTGATGCTTGTCATGGATGGTCCTAATTAATTTGTTAAATTCTCCTTATTTAAACAAAACTCTCTTTGTTCTTTGGCTATGCTTTGTGGGAAAGAAAAAAAAAAAAAATTAAGGGCAAGGCATGTGAAAGACAAATAATCGTCTTTGTGTTCATGTAGGCCTTTTCTTAGTGTTTATTGAAGGCCACTAATTCATTGATTGTCAATTTTCCATCATTCCTTTTTTTCTTTTCCAGAGAATCGTCTTTATCAATTTCCGGGGATATTGATAGATATAAACGCACCTCAAAAGCACATGGTGTAGGACAGGGTGACTTGTAGGCCACAGTGATTTCAAATATGAAATTAATAGTGGAAATCAGAAATGAGAAATATATGACAACTTACTGCGTATCCTTTGTCCTTAATTCTTCATCAAATAAGACTGTTGGCAGCTTATCTGTGACCTCCTTTTTCAGACTGATCGGTTGACAAGGCTGCAGTAAATGTAAAGATTGTGAGATGTACTCAAAGGAGTAAATGTGCATTTGTTGTTTAGAATAACCAGTTCATGCATGCATGACAATTTAAGACTACTTACTGAGGAGAGATATGGAGTTGGTTGATTCAAACTGGTTGGAAGAATTGGGCGAGGGATTGAGAGATTGGAAGCTCTTCTCTTCAAGTAAAACAAGTAAAACAACAGAAAGAGAATTATTGAAAAGAGAATAGGAATCGAAAATATGAATGCCTGGTAGAGTTTAAGTTGAAGGGCTTGAGGATAGAGGTGATCAGGAGGGGTCGAAGATTGAGTTTGAGCTGGAGGAACACCCATCGGCCACCAGCAAGCAGTCCTCAAAATTCAAGCTCAAAGTAAATATCTAATACGCATGCTGACTTCTTATCAGAAAGGAGGGAAAGGGGCATATGATACTAAAGCAGTGCTCTTAAAGTGGACAAAGCACATAAACAAATAAAGTAAGCTAAAAAAATACAGCTTTTAAGATCAAAATATTCATTAGATGATGATGGTATTTATTCTTTCTTTTCCAGCGATAGGACAAGCCCACCACTCTCCACTAAGATAGGGGGTCCTTTCTCACGGTCTCATCCTCTAAGCACCACTTCCAAATTCTTCTTCATGTTCTAAAAAATCCAAAACAAATGCTAATTCACTCTATTCTTAATGACTGCTTAATGAAGGTCCACATTTACTTTTCTTCGGTTTTTTTGCACCATTTTATAACATACAAGCAAATAGCATTTGTGTTTTTTTAAAGTTTGAGTTGATGTCGCTTTGATTTTTATAGCTTTGGAAATTATTTTTTAGTTTTTAAATTTTTTATTTCTTAAAGTTTTGCTATTTTCATTAGTGGAACCGTTAACTTAAGTTTTATATCCCATCCTAAATGGCATTTAGAGAATGGATGATATGAAAATTTTAAAATTTATTTTAAAATTAAAAAAAATAAAATTTTTAAAATTTTTTTCTTGAAAAATTTTAAAAATGAAAAACCCATCTTTCCATTTCTTCCTTTTCTCTTTTCTCTTCAACTTTTCTACGGCACGATTGGTTGGTAAAATAGAATAGAGCAGAAATGGAATAGACATTTTATGGGGACGGATAAGAAGAGGAATAGAATAGAATATATACTCTATTACTTGGTTGGAAGAATGGAAAAACTATTCTGACTTTATTGTAAAATTCGGTTGACAACAATAGGTTATAGAATTAAAAGGAACAGGTAATACAATATCCAACATATCCTCAAAAAATTTTTCATCTATTTTCTCCCTTGTTTCTTTTTTTACATTCCATTTTCTCTTCAAAATCAAAATTAAAAAGAAAACTCTTTTGAAACCTTCCTATCTCTTTGTTGACGACAAACAATTCTCCCTTTTTGTCTCTTTCTTCCTTTCTTGTTTCCTTTGCTTGTATCTGGAGCTTTAATCTCTCTCCTCCCTTTTTAGACCATTTAATTTAAAATTCTCACATATTTACCTTAACTCATTGAGTCCAAATCCCTTCCCTCTCAACTTTGATAGTTATAACTTTTTCTTTGAAATTATTGATTGAGTGAGGTTGTTAAGGTGAGGATTATGTTTCTCTTTGTTTTGTCAATATTGATCCCACTAGTAGAAAATGAAATATTAATGACAATTCTTTAGCTAACTTAAATGTTTTTATAAGGCTCACTGCATTTTTTAACAAAATATCACAAAATATTCAAGTAGTAGCATTTGTATTTTTAAACGCTATTACAGAAACAAATTAGCAATGTTTAACCACTAAAACGTCACAAAATAAAATTAAAAAATTAATTAAATATAAATATAAATTTTTTAGTGGTGTTTTTTATGAGAAACACCACTATAATGGATCCCAAACTAAAAAATGCAATGTTTAAAAAGTATTTAGTAGCATTTTAATTAATAAACACAGCTATTAGGAAGCAAATAGTGACATTTTTTAAAGTAAATGCTGCTATTGTGAAGAAATTACATGGCCAAAACTTTTCTCTCAAAATTGAAACCATTTTTTTCTTCTCTACGATTTCCTTTCCTTTCCTAAGCATTTTTCTTCTTTGCAAACCAAGGCCATTTCCTTTTCCTCTGCAAAATATAATATGTTCCTTGCTTTAGGAACATATTTTTGTTTTTGTTTTTTTTTCAATTCTAATTTTGGTTTGGATAAAAAATGAAAGGGTTTTTTGCAAATATGATTCATCCCTTCGTCCTCTTCCTCGTTGGAGCCTTCAGCCTTGGCCAGCCACTGACTCATCTAGTAAGGGTTCCTTTCCTTACTTTAGGAACTAATTCTTGTTTTTGTTTTTTTTTTTTTTAATTCTAATTTTGGTTGTCATAATGATTTTGTTTGGATCATAAATGAAAGAGTTTTTTGGCAAATCGGTCATTCCTCCACTATTTCCTTCATTGGAGCTTTCAACCTTAGTCAGCCATTGACTCCCTCATTGCAAACAAGCATTTTAGAGGTCAGGATTTATGTTAGATTTGATAATGTGATTGAATTTAGTAGAGTAATTAAGAGAGTATTAGATTTGATCTAAGCACAATTAAGCCTCCATTTCATTTTTCTCATCAACGTCTAATCCCACATCTTCTAGGTAAACCTAATTCCATCATTTTTGCTTTTTTATTTTTCTTTTTTTTCATATTTCAAATTTTTTTGTTTTGAATATAAGATTGAAATTTAAGATTTTTTTTATAGAAAAAATAAGAGTTGGTATTTGAGAAATGGGATACCTTTTTGGACAATACAAACATCTAGCCGGTCTTGTTTAGGTAGTTTAAGACTTAAACTTCTATTTTCATCTTTTTTAATTCTTGTTATGGGCTAATAGTTTCTTGATTACTTGAATTGTTTTAAAGTCCATACCTTTTTTTCTCTTGTAATTTTTTTATATGGTATGTGTCACTGAGCCTGAAGTCCTGAGAGCTTTGAAGATTGGAATTCTTCATAGTTGTTGGATTACCACAAGTTTAGGAAAAAGATGGATTTATTCTATTTTCTAGTATGCTGCAATAAACCTGTCAAGTTATGCTTATGGTCACTTGCACTTCTAAGATTTGAATAAAATAAAAAAGTATAGTAAACTTGAATATTCTATTTCCAAAACTATGAGATCTAAGACGGTAAACTAACATTTAATCTACCAACAAATTGTGTGTGTGTATGTGTGTTTTTGAAAGTTTCCATTTTCTGACATTTTAGCGCATCTATTCGTGTTTGTAGATGCATGCATAATTTTAGAAAGAAAATTGTCTATGTGCATATTGATTTTTGAAAGTCATTTTATGCTACCATCTATTCTTGGAAAAATTGAAAACTCACGTTTATGCTTGTAGACATTGCAACCTATATGTCATTTAAGGATTTTAACTACTATAACAATTCTTAAATTTTCCTTTATATTACTTTTATGAGTTGTTAAAAAAATAGAAGTTTTAAAGTTATTTAGTAAGAATTCGATGTTGAATGAAATTATGAAGTGGTTTTTACGTTTTCATTTTATTCCTTATGCATGGAAGTTTTACAAGGCCATGGATATTTTGGTCAAATTCTAACCTTCAAATTGAAATAACTACTTATGGGTTGGTAACTAATATCTCATCTTTATTCAATGCTATTTTAGAGTAGGTAGGTAGTTAAATATCAGGGCGAATGCATAAATGCCTGACTTTATAGCTCTGCATCCTTGAAAGATTCTATTTGTACTTTATTGTTACAATGTTTTTCTTTATAGTGAGTGCAGTTGTTTCCATGTATATATCTCTTTTTAATGGCTTGAAACTTGATAAATTCTCATGCTTTTATAGGTTTTCTTCTCTCAGCTTATTCTTGTAAAGTTAAATAAAGATATCAAAGGTCTGACGTTATTTTTTATTCTTATTTTTAGCTAGACTTAAAAAGCATATTGTTGCTTTAAGTTATATGTCATAGCTCTTTGTAATGTTTTTCTTAATATGTGCAAATATGAAAATGTAAAATTTTCTTTGGTTAATAACTCATGGTTTTTTTTTTTTTCTTTTCAAAGACCTACTTGTCACTTGATATACCAAAAAAATAGATTTATCACAATATTGAAGTCCATTACTGTTAGTTGTTTCACTAAATTGTTTACGTGATTATGTTTTCCCTTAAATCTTTCTCCAGATGTGTTGTAAGCGATTTTGGAAAGATTGCAATATATATCTTGGAAAAGCTTGTTGCTATTGGTGTTATTTCCATTACAATATCTGTTAATTCTCCATTGCACATTGGATACATAAAAAAAGTCATTACTTGTAATGTCACTGTACACTTGATATATAAAGACGATTACAAAATTCTTTTGTTTTCATTATTATTCTAGCTTAAAAGATTATCACAGTACAGATTTCACTAATTTCAATGAAAAATGCTAATCTTGAAGCCAAATGAGCTCTTTTGCATAGAACCTAATAATTTTGCATTTTTTTACTTTTGCCTTTTTCTTGACAGTTATGGTTGCATTGTTTGCAAGTGTTTTAATGATGTTAACCTAGTCCTCATCACTTGTATTTTTTTAATGTACATTAAGGTCTTCAGTCATTTTATTTTGCTTCAAAAAAATGCCTTAAAATCATATTCAAGTTCATTTTTCATGGCTCTTTTTTTTATTGTCAAGAAGTTTTTTTTACATTTCTTATTTTCTAGTACATAACGTACTTTGTTTACCTTTTAACTTGATTTAGGAAAATGATCCCAAAGATAGTAAACATACAAATACATGTGATTGTTTGATGTGATTTTGGTGTATTATATTTTCTTTTTCACTATATAGAATGAAGCTTGGAAATTCTATTGGTATGAACTTAGATGATGTATAATAGCCTCAGTGCAAGCAAATAAAGTTGGCTTCACATTCTGTTTAGTTAAGATCTTGGCAAATAAAAGTTAGTTGAAATAGTTGTTTGTCTTTTAATAACTTGCCTTTGCCTCATATGTGGCACATGTTCAAAGGGAAATTTGGTTGATAAGGATGGATTTGATTATATGAAAATATCATTTTAAAGGGATTTTAAAGCTTAATAAAGAAGTTTGAACTGTGTTTTCTTCACTGTCATTTTCATACTTAAATTTAAATTTCATTTCTTTTATTGACTCTTGAGAGCTGTATTAAAGTGTACAAAGATTATTCAAAGACTTATGTTAGGTCTAAGTACTATGATGAAGCAAAACTTGGAATGAAAGATGCCATGTTGCAATTTCCTATGGTTCTTAAAATGAAATTGATTAGGTTGATGCTATTAATTTGGTTTATTCAGGTTGTCGTGTACTTGTAAAAGGTAGTA